CCTTCCACGCAGATTTTGCCGTCACATTCTCGTCCAAACCCTAATTTTACTTTTTTAAAGCTTTGTATATCTCAAAATACGCCATTTTCGCATTCTCTTCAAAACTTCTTCAATGTTCCAGACTATCGCTTCCACTGACCGTCAAAACTACTTACCCCAAAATTATCGTGGACTGCGCCTTTAAGGTGTTGCCCCCATATATGTAGATGGGTTATTGAAGAGTAAGGCTTCCGGTTCACTGGTAGATTTTTGTTCACTTCAAAGTGGTTAAGTTACTGAATAATAGAAACCATAGGAAGAATCTCTCGTTCAACACCAACCATACACAACAGGGCCCTCGAACCTAACTAGACCATAACAACATCAACCAAAAGTCACCTGAACATGACATGCACCAGCGAGGTTTCGAAATTCGTAGGAAGGTTCTTGTTCCTAACAACCTATAACGAAAGCATGCATTCATTCCAATCGAGTTCACGAACAATGCGATCTTGAATAATTCGCGACAGTTTGATATAAAACTGTAACTGATATAAAACTAACTAAGTGATGAATGCCTTGAACGGCGTAGGATGCTGCAGATGACTCCAGTCTCCCGAGAAGGAAATCCAATAGAACACCCACTAAAAAGAGGAAATAAGCGCGTATATATGCAAGAATGAGCATGAAAAAGATGTAGGAATCGGAACTCCAAATTTCGCAGCAATGATATGAAATTTTGATTTTATTCCTGAAAGCTCGATGAATTATTAGATTTCTGCCTCGACTTGTTGCCCAGCACTTCTGAAGCAACTGGCCAGTATAGCATTGAGCAATGAAGTCGATTAAAGAAACCAACAAAGAGCTATGACGCTCACCAACCTTGTTCTTCAGAAAGAAAGTCGTCCGGGAACGAACAGATAAGATCCACTAACTCAGAAAACGCCGTATCCCTCACATCTTCTGACTGAGATAGTAGGAGTGGCCTAGTTACAATAATTTTATAAGAAACGTACTAAATACAAAATTTTCAAAACGAAAGGCAAACTATTCACCTCTTCATCTCGAAAAAATCGCTCAATGCGAGAGATCTATCAATTACCAGTTGCTGGTAGACAGAGATATTGTCACCCTTTTCTGGGAGCATTTCTAAAAATAAACAATTTTACGACATATCAATAGCAACAAGATTTCTGCTCCGAAAGGTGAACGAAATGACATTCAAAACAGACAAGAAAACGAAAAACGACACGAACACTTAGGAATTTCGCATAGATTTTCCTACTGAAGGGTAGCACACAATCTTTCAGTGAAAGATTTTCTAATCATAGTCATACAGAAACATTAAATTCTTAGAAAGATGAGGGATTGGAGTAATGTTTGGTTTAATTATGGCAGGCTGCAATAGTGCAAAGAAACGATTTTTCCTAATGCTTGGCACTTATCGTTAGAGAAGCAGAGCA